TACAAATTCTAATTCAGGAATTTACGTTAGCTTAGAGAAACACTTGAAACACACACACACACACACACACACACACACACACACACGCACGCATGTGGAGACACAAACCAAGTGATTTAGTGTAGCACTGATAATAAAAACTTGGACATAGTCCACACGTCTAATGGTGAAGAATGACTAACTCATCTATGTAGCTGCTTCAAAAGAATGCTGAAAATTCGATGAGAAGTTATCCTTCATCTTCAGTATTCTTCAGTGTGTCATACTGGAAGGGTTCATAAACTTCATTTCAGATTCTTGAGTATCTTCCAGAGAACAAAGAAAAAATGCACTGTTTTTTATTAAAAAATAAAATTAATTCTGCTTTCTATTTACTATAAAGGTTTATTGGATCATTTTATCACTCTAAGCAAAATTTCAGGATCTTTAGTGATCTCAGTCATCTGAAACATTTATTGTTTTATCATACTAGGAACTATTTCAGCATTGTTTATCGGTTACTTCAGCAGTAGTGTGGAAATCTAAATTAAAAAGAGATTATAGAATGATGATGCAAAAGTAGCAAGAAAAAAAAATCTCTGGTCACCCCATTTTTTTCTTATCTAATTGCCATTTCCCAAATTGTTAAAACACTCTAGAATGTATGAAAAGGGACACGAGTGCCACTGATATAATCTGATTACAGCTTTTACTGGGTCCAAGTAGGAGAGTTTTCACTGTTTACCCATAGTAATAAGGAAGACAATTGACAGTAACTCAGATGTGAGGAGAAAGACAGTGATGCTTTGGGCATGGATGATGATGAGGAGCGTCTTGTATAAGCAGTCTAAGACTGTGAGTGTTCATGTTACACTGTTGCTGCTGCGTCATGAATTGATGTGTAGATAATGTTTTGTAGAGCAAAATGAATTGTGTTCTCACCTCCTTAGTCACTTCATGGGAACCACTCAGCATTTAAGATTTGGTGATGAGAATCTGGATTATCTTGATTTGTTAAAGGACATGTGATAATTTTTTATGTTTCTATATGTCTTCATTAAAATTTACTCAGTACAGTTTTTAGGTGGACAAGCAGAAAATTGAAAGAAAACAGGTGACATCAAATAAAAGGATTCATTTGATTGATTATTCTAATTGGTATTTGTGAATATAAAAATCATACATTTTGTATTATTATGGGTGAAGACAGTTGTCTTCAAGAAAATTATTAGCTTTGAACGATTTCGAAATTTATCCAACTGTTCCATCTCGAGGCAGTTGTGAGAAGAATCAGAGTCAGTGGGTTGAAACCTACTAGAAATGTTTTAGCACTTGAAATTTAGTTTTAGAGAGTAATATGTATGACAACTAATAGTCAGTTACATCCAAGATGTGTTGCCACTCCAGGTACCTATACTATGAAGACCAAGAAAAAGTGGAACACAGTTTTGTTTGCAATGTCAAAGTCCTTACTAGACTATATAGTCCAATGGTAGAGCCCTTGATGAACATGAGTGAGGCCATGGTCTCAGTCCTCACATGCAAAACTAAATGATAATAAAATAAAATTTAAATTAAGTTCTTACTGAAATTTGTAATGAGGCTGATCTTTTTAAGCATCCCAGTCTTCTTCTCTAAAAGTTTTTTTTTTTTTTTCAATAGATTTTAAAATATTAAAGAGTCTGTTAGGCCCAGAGAGTAGATGGTAAAATCAGTTTTTTATGTGTGTGGATGATTTAAATAAGCTGTTGAATTAAAGTGGTTGTGAAATGCTGTATTACAATATGACTCTTGTTTGTCAAAGAGATCACAACCAACGCAATATGTACATATGAACATAATGAAAGGAAGGGAGACACTAAACTGATTTTTGTGTTAACCTTTGGGGAGGAGGTGGAGGAGAATTGACTCAGGGAACTTGGATAAATAGATAAAGCTATAGATAAAAACTGGTAATATATAAAGACTTAGAAAAAAGCAAATCCCAACACTTGGGAGATAGAGGCCAGCCTGGTCTACGTAGCAAGTTCCAAGCCAGGCTATAAGGAAACCCTGTCTCAGCAAGCAAAAACAAAGAATAACAAGGTGAAAATTAATAATTTTTATATGGAAAAGTAAAAGCTACATATATAAAGAATACCTTATAGTAACATTTTCAGTTGAATAGTATGTGAGCAATTTAGATCATTCTATCTTCTAGTCTAAAACCTATTGTCATTTATATTAAGGTAATAATTTAATCTGGAAGTGATCTAGTGAAATAATGTAAATAAACATGATCTGAACTGTTATGTTTAATGATGGATATATTGACTTGATCTCAGATAATAACAGACAAGTGAAGACCAGCATCTTGCAAAGATAGACCTTGTAGGAATGGCTGCAGCCTGTCCTTCAGCGCACTGCTCCCAGCTGTTAAATTCTAGTTAAAACTTAACAAGATTCACATCCTTATTCTGCACTTATGTTCTTATGTTCTTGAGATCTAATGTTTTGTGGTCTGTCTTGACCACTAGATACTAAAGTTTTTCATGCTATATCAGTGTTCTTTTAAAAAGCCACTCATAACATCTACAAACTGATAGAGCTTCTTTTTCAGGCCAACTCTGCAAGAAGAGAAGAAAATAATTATTAAAAATGGAAGGCACCCTATGATTGATATGTTGCTGGGAGAACAGGATCAGTATGTGCCCAATAGTACAAGTTTATCAGTAAGTACCGTACTGCACCAAAAGCCCTAGTAAACGATGAGGACGTTGATCCCAAGCTTTGGAATATCAAATGTTATCCAGGTTTTTTTTCCTTTGGTTTTAAATGGTCGAATCCCAGGCATAGAAATTAGTATGATTTCCAATGAAAAATCCAAATAGAAAATAGATGGAAAGATTTAGCAACTAAGGAGGATTATTATCTTACTTTTCTTATGGAACCCCCCCAAACTTTATATTTACAAATATGCTAATGATGTTGGATGCATATGATGTTTTTGCAAATTCCTATTAGCATATAGTGTTACCATTGTCCTGTGTTACATTATTTTCAAGTGCTCTAAAAGAATCAGAGATGCTTCAGTTGACTTCAGTGGTAAGAATTTTCATCTTCTAGGTTGGAGTTCTGTTATAGAACTAATGATTTTGCGTATTTGTTATCTTTATTCATTTAGCATATACTGAGGACTTCCATTAAAAAGCAAGATTTCAGAGGTGGTGGTGTTCTGGGTGACAGCAAGATCCTAAGTGTGGCATGGGAGTGAGCTAGCAGAGGTTTTTGGAAATGAGATCTGAAGCAGAGTTTGGGAAAGAGTTGTCCACCTGACTCTTGAGGTAGTCTAAGGTAACAGTGGGATTTGTTGTTTAAGGTGATAATGATCCAGTTATCAGAGATTGCAAGAAATGATGACTGAGGTTTTTGGATGTTTGTAGTGAGTGGGAGCAGATGTGGTAGGACCATGAAGAAACAGGAAGAACTGCTGAACCCTGAGGGTGGAATGTGGTAGAAGCTCAACCTCTGAATGGGAAGGTTGCTGTAGAATAACAAACAGTAAGGTTTCAGTTTAAGTAGTACATGAAGGAAAAGTTGCACAAAGTGGTTGGAAACATAGGTGCAGGCTATGTAATTGTGGCACATGCCATTAATTGTAGCACGTAGGAGGCAGATGCAGGCAGATTTCTGTGAGATTGAGGACAGCCTGGTCTATGTAGGGAATTCCAGGCCAGCCAAGACTACGTAGTGAGACCTTGTCTCAAAAAAATAAAAGGAAGGAGGGAGGGAGGAAGGGAAAAAGGATTAGAGACTTTTTTGAAAACTGAGAAAGGATTGAGATATAGGAGAGTGGCTGGAGAGTGGATCAGAACAGCAGGGGGTTGGGACAATAGCAGTATTCCATCTTGGGCCATGAGCAAGGATGGATGTGTCATGGTGAATTTGACTGACCACAAGAATGTGAGTGAAATGAAATTTGAATTCTGTCTGCTTTAATGTTGCAAGTCATAGAGATACTTAGTAGTATAGAACATATTTGCTGGCCTGTTCAGATTGCAATCACAAGGTACCATGGACTGGGTGGCTTATAAACAACAGAAGCCTATCTTTTATGGTTCTAGAGACTGAGATTTCTAAGATCAAGCTGTTAGACCTGGTGGAGGCTGGTTTTCTGCTTTGTAAGTGGCACCTTCTCACATAGTTGTAAGTGCCCTTACATGGATGGGAAAAGGAGAGGTCCCTCTTAGTCCCTATATATTAATCAGCTCCTAAAGGCCCCCTGATATTGTCATCATGGGAGTTAGAATTTTGTATGATTTGGGGGAGGGGGTAACAGACATTCAGACTATAACAACCAGAAACCTTAAGTATTCACTAGAAAACTTGTATGTTATCAGTTCATCAAATAATAAATACTGATTCTATCTTTAAAAAAAAAAAGCCTTTATAAGAAGTCCTCATAATAGTAGAGAGTATAACTTTTCTTGAAAAAGTACTATAGTTGTAATATTTAGTAGCTTGGCTTATATTTAACTTATAAGCCACTTAAGTCCCCTATCACTGCCATGCTCACCCACTTGACCCCAGGAATGCTATCCTTGGTGTTGATTTCTTGTTTCTCTTTTCCTCCCATTTTCTTTAAAAGAGTATATTATAGTGTTAGTAAACCTAGAGTGGAAGAACCAAAGTAGCCTTCATATTACAAGCACACTTTAAAGAATCATCGAATCATGATTTTAAATCTTTGCAAAATAAGTGGAGTGGGTTTTTTTTTTCCTAGCATGTACCTTAGAATGTTCCAGAATATTCATTTCTTTTACATACGCTTTTTCTAACTTGAGTAGGAGTCGATATAGACTGTTGCTATGGTGAAGTGCATTCTGTTTTTTGGGGTATAAATTTATATATAGCTATAGTATGGAGAAAGAACTTACTATGTAAAATTCAATCTAAAAGGCATTCTGTCTATTAATTTATAAACTGTACCCTGAAAGCAATGTCCTCAAAGTTAGGTAGCATTGTGACTTCCGATAATCATGTAGTTTTAAGAACTGGCCTTTTGTACATCTAAATTATAAGTCAGTTCTGCTGGGTTCCAGAATCATTGTGGGGCTTATAAGCAAGCCAGTGTTTTGCTCACTTTACCTCTTCCAGTTTTAGGGTTTTCTTAAACCCTCCCCCTGCTGTTCCTTCCTATTTTGCTGTTCAGCCTGATTACCTGTTGATAACTGTGGCACTCCCTTCCTTCCTTCCCCTCCTCCTTTCACTCTTTCCCTGCAGCCTCCCCTAACCTGGCATGCTACACTGCCATTTGAATTCATACTCTGCATTCCAGCCTTTTTGGACTTCTTATAGTTCCCATGCTACTGTGCCTCGAGGCTTGGCAGATGGTATTCCCTCTGCTTAGAATGCCAACCTTCCCCGCCTTACCCCCTCTTGCCTCCTGCACACCCACAGCACAATCCACCCCTCTCTAGATTAGCTTTTTCTCCCAACTTAGATTTCTGTTCTGGTGTGAAGATTTCCCTCACAAACACTGTGGTGAGCCCCCCAGTGCATCCCTGCCCCCACACTGTTTCTCCCCATCTTGGTATGTATCTCACAGAAGTCACAATTGCTCATTTTGATGTATTTCCCAGAGGCTTTGTCTTGATGAGAACAGGGACTATACATCTCTGTGTGGTGTAATCCCAGTGTCTGTCCCATGTCTCCAACACATAGCAGACCCCTAATCAGGTTTGCTACTAAGGATTAGCTAAGAACCCTTCTTCAGTATCCAAGACTCACTTTAAAGTTTTTATGTTTTTATCTCCTACAAAATGTTACTTTTCAGGATTGGGGGCTTCACAGTTTACAGAATAGTGCACCGATAGCTAGAAGAAAGAGCAGAGGTCTTCTAATATAGTGCCTCTTCGACATTTGTGGTAAACTAAGTCCCAGGAAACGGAAAAGCGATGTAGAGGCTGCCCAAGTTGATCATCCTGGACAGTGTCTGAAATACAGGCACAGTCTAGGGCAAGGTGGTGCTTTCCAGCCGTACCTGCTTTGTGGCACACATAGGAAATGATGACATCTTGACAGCACACTGAAATAAAAAAAAGAGCCAGAGGAGGCTAGCCCAAGGGCTGTGACTGTCACAGCCCCATTGGTCACTTTGAGGGCTGAGGAGTCAGCACCTTGCTTGCCTGTGACCCTGTGGCAAACCAAGACATACTACCTGGGACAGTCTGCCATGGTAGTCTCAACTCTCCCATGATTGCTTATTAAGCCAAATGGCTCTCTGATGGATGGGCTTCTAAAAACAATTAGAATAGTTCTTTTATGTTGGTTTTGAGATAAGTGATATAAAGTGGGGGAGAAAAATGAGTCTAGCCGTAGAGCAGGAAGATTCCCTGGAGCCTATTGAACCCCCAGACCTCTCTAGCCCATGGGAAATCCACACTCCAGGTGCTCTAGAGGTGGGCCCTGGGATCTAGGCCTCAATCTTTTCTGAAATCAGGAAGTGTCCCAAGGCTCTGTATTATGCAGTACAGTTTGTGGCGTGCAGTAGGCACCCACTTCTTTGTTATATATATATATAATGTGCATTTGAAGCTGGTAAAGATGAGAACCCACTTCCCAGTTTCCTCCTCCTTTCCAGTACAAGTTGTTTCACATGTGCTTGCTGGCTATAAACAAATTAATTAGTAGAATATTTGTAGCAATAGTCTGTACCCTTTGACTATTTGTACCCAATGACCAAGCAGACCAATAATGTAACACCTTAAAATGTGTTACTTTACTTCACCCTTGTGGCTAGGTTATACTCATAGCATCTGCTATAAATACATCTTTCACATAGCATGGTGATTGCATCATGAAGCCAAGGATAAAAATTAAGGGGGAATGATTTTTTTTTTTTAAAAGAAAGGCTCTCCCTGTAGCTCCAGCTGGCCTGGAACTCACAGAGATCCTTCAGCCTCTGCCTCCAAAGTGCTGGAATTAAGGGCATGCACCATCATGCCCGGTAGGGAATGATTTTTTTTTTTAAGATTTATTTTTATTTTTAATTGTGTGGGGGAGGAGTCTGTCGTAGAATAAATTCAGGTGCCCAAATAAGCCAGAAAAGGATGTTAGATTCCCCTGGAGCTGGAGTTACAGGTGTTTCTGAGCTGCCTGACATGGTTGCTGGGAACTAACATGGGTTCTCTGGAAGAACAGCAAGTACTCTTAACCACTGAACCATTTCTCCAACCAATATTGATTTTTTTTTTCCTATTTAAAGTATTCCACAGCTGGAGACATGGCTCAATGCTTAGAGCACTGGCTGCTCTTACAGAGGATCCTGGTTTAGTTTCCAGCACCCATATGGCTGGTAACAACCATCCACAACTCTAGTTCCTGGGGATCTGACACCCTTCTCTTGCCTCCATAGGCATTTCACACATGTGGTGCACTTACATACATACAGGCAAAACATTCATACACAGAAAATAAAAATAAAAATTCTTTAAAAAATCCTAAATTGTGCCGATATCTCCCTGCCTAGAATGTTCTTTGTCTCTTCCTGTCCCTAACCCATGCCCATCAATTGAACTTTTGTTCATTCTTCAAGACCCAACAAAAGTATTACCTCCTCCTGCCTTCACTGTCACTTTGGCCAGAAACAATCTGTCCATGTTAGTATGTTTTTCCTTTTTAAAATTCTTAACACATGCCATTTGATACATAGTTACAGAGTAGAAGTGCT